AACCAGAAAAATCAGATTTGAAATTTATCTCAAAATTTCACATAAAATTCAGAATTAGTTCTAGATAAATCTTTTAATAATAAACCAAAAGAAATCTGATTTTTAATCACAATATACTTCAATTAAAACAGAAAATTCAGATTTAATATTGCAACAATAAAATTTCTAGAACAATTCAAAATTAGGTTTCTAAACAATAAATCCAAACAAAAATCTGAATTAACACAATGTATAACAAGGTGTAAAAATAAATTCAGATTTAATATTTTTAATCAATATTTCACAAAAATTAGAAACACTAATCTTACACAAAGAGCATCAAGATTTCTAAAATATTCACTTAAAATCAAAACAGAAAAATCAAAATGCAAAAATCAGATTCCAAATTTTAACAAAAAATCCCTAAATCAATGAACAACTCAAGAGATTTAATATTCAGATTAAACAACTCAAAATCCTTAAAGCATATGAACTAATAGATCTGGAAATTTCAATTAAATGCTTTAAATCAAAGATTCACAAAAGATTTGAGTTGGTCAGAAAATACAACAATGAAGCCCTAAATTCTTTATCAAAGATCCCCAAATTCTTCTCCAAGAAAATATGCAGCCACCAAAAAAAAAATTGAAGAGTAATCGCAAGACAGAAAAAGCGAGAAAAAGAGTTTACTGTTCTTTTTCTTTTGTTGTGCCTTCAAATCGATTATCCAAGAGAATATGAGTTTCGAATCTGTGTGCAGGTCAAAGAAGAGGTTCTGTGAATGAGCGTTGTTTTTTTTTTCCGTATGTGAACGATCAGAGAGAGTGAACTTTTTCTTTCTTTTTCATTGAGCTTCTTTTTTTGATTTGTAAAAGTAACATCTCTTATTTGTTTATTATTTTCTTTATATACTACTTTTTGGTTTGAAAGTCACGTGAATGCATATGATGACTAATAGCTTTACCTCATAGCTTTCCTTCTTTCTTTCATTACTTTATCCAATTAATAGTTTGACAAGTCAAAGTATCTAACCAAAAATTGGCTTACGATGACAATTAGAAAGCATATACATATTGCATTCATTTCATATATATATATATATATATATATAAAGAAACGAAACTACGCACAGCGTTCTTTGTTGCATTGATTGTTATATTTATATATATATATATAATATAACTTTTACTTTTTAGTTTTTATTAAAACAAATTTTTAATATACTTTTCTCTCCTTTTTTTTATTAAAACAGATATTCAAAATGAAATTAAATGCATGAAATGCAATGATATGTATTGGAGCTTAGGTAGATATTATATGATATAATATTGTGTGTAACAAAATATCTAAAAATACCTAACCACTTGTATCTTTAAACTCCATCTTCAATTTGAGACTTTTTGTAAACCCTTTGTCTTCGTCAAAATATGTATTCCATTATGCTTAAGAGGTCTTCACTTATCTCCATGTTTTCCTCCTACAAAAACATTGAATTTTGCGTGAAATTGTGTCTGAAGATGGATCATCAATAATTCCTCAAAAATAATAACTTTATCACTGAATTACTGTCAAATCCTTGTTCTTTTTACTCTGAAATACTTATATGCCGAAGGCACATCAAACAATTCCCAGATTTAGATATTGTTGTCCCCAGCAATAAATAAGATCAAACATTAGGCAACAATGGTAAGCTTTGTGAGAAGAATTTATGTCATTAATGAAATTTTCTACATGGAAGAGATTAAGAGTTATAATGATATGCATGAGTGAATTCAAAGTTGAGAATTTTAAGAATCACTTTTTGTATAAGGAATTAGAATCTAGCTCAATCACTCCTTACCAAGATAATCACTGCATTTTTCACTCTTGTGTATAGGGTTTAAAGTCTCAATCCGTCAGTGCAATAAGACTACCATAGGTTTGATCCTATTCTAAAGTTCCTAAAGATAAGGAACATGTAAAACATGCACAATTAGATCTAAAGGTCTTTGCAGGGTTGTAACTTGGCTTAGGCTAGTGTAGGAATATCTGGGAAAGTGGCTAATTTTTACTGTATATGAGATCGAAACACAACTATTTATTTTTAGTTGTTCACACTCAGACACAATTCCACTTAGTCTTTTCCTTTCTATTCATACTTTTTCTTTTTCTTCTTTCTTTTTGACCCTTTTCATGCTTTTTCGTTACTATGCAACTTTTCATTTTGTTCTTTTTCTCTTTGCTCTCAGCTTTTTCTTTCACCATAACTTTAACTTCTGTGAACTTTTTCCTGAATTCTACAATCAGTGCTTCAATCTCATTCAAGGTAGGTCAACAGGAGAAGAATTCAAGTGTCTTATGGTTGAATTTAATAAGAAACAAAAAGCTAAAGCTCAAAGGGCTAGCATTGGAAATTTTTCAGGATAGCTATTTGGCAAAGTGGTTACCAAGAAAGAATTGTCTTTATCATTACAGATCATGCATGTATTACAGAGAAACAGATCAAGTTCTAGAGTATTATCACAATGAAGTCTCTCTAAAAAAATATTACTGTATAGGCTCAAACCTCACGGCTGTGCAATCAAACTAGAATCTATAATCCACTTATCATCACATATCAACTGTAATTCTCAACAAAGAATTCAATCAAACGAGCAATAATAACTCTTAATACTTCAATGCATAACTCATAACATTTATCCATTATGACTTCTCACACAGTATCTTATATGCTCTCTAAGATTTAATCATCTTGTTGCATGACTAGCTAATGCAAATCCAGGTATGTTGCTCAGAGAATTCTTCTATCAAAACAAAAATAACAAAAGAAATTGGGACAAAAGGGTTCAGATATCTCCCCTGATTCATAAAAATTTTCTGTTAGAGGTCTTTTCAGTTTGGTTCCTTAGTCTTTTCTGTCTGGTTCCTTTGTACCACATGTGGTGCACCCAATTCCCAGATTTAGAACATTGTTGTCCTCAGCAATAACTAAACTAATCAAAGAAAGTAACTGTTGCGCACGTAAAACACACACATGTGAAATATCAAGCAGAAAATAGCATGACCAATGTACTGGAGAATTACAAAACCAAAGACCAAATGTGTCTGAATGAACCTAACATTATACTAGATGGTCAACTAAAAACAATTAAAATAAAACAGCAAAAACATCACCCTCACGCGGATTGCGCCAGGATCTGCGCGATTTGTGCGGTGAAACAGAAGCTTCCAAGCTAATATAGCGCGGATGGCGCCAGGGTCCACGCATTTTACGAGAGGAGACACGAAGTTTCATTGGAAACTCGCGCTTTTCGCTCCTTATACCGCGCGATTTGCACGGTACTCTGTTTTCCTTGACTCAAAAACTAATTATTTTCTAAAACTTAAAAGACTCAACAGAAATAAATAAGAAAATTACTCAAAAATTATTGGGTTGCCTCCCAACCAGCGCTTGTTTAACTTCACGAGCCTGACGTACTCCCTGTGATTATGGTGGTTGGAAGCATGCTACCATTGATGACCCAATCTTTTTAGTCCAGTATTGTCTCTTTCCATAATAATCATATGCACGTGGATGATGATGAGGGTTCTCAGGAACTTTAAATTTAGTCTTCACATGCTTTTCCTTACTCCTGGATTTTTCCATCTTAACCTTTGGCTTGCTTTCTTCATGTCGCTGATGGACTTCCTTCTTTGTGGAGTTTAGTCTTCTCTGAGGTTGTCTCACAGGTTTAACATTGTCTTCCATTAGAATCTTGTGAGTACAGAAAGAATGGTTGATATCCTTCAAATCAGAAATAGACCACCCAAAAGCTGTCTTGTGCTCCTTGAGCACTTTCAACAACTTCTCTTCTTCATCCATAGACAACTCTTTATTGATTCATCTCCCAAAAAGGCATATTTCAGAGTTTCAAGTAACTCTTTCAATTCTGTTTTTGGTGCTACTGTAACTAGATCATTTTCTTTCTTTTCTAGCACCTCAAAAACAACTTCTAGCTCTTCTTGTGGAGTAGCTTCATCTTGAGCCTTCAACTCTTCTTCAAGCTCTTGATAATCACTTTTCTCTTCCATAACCACCTCTTCAAACACATCAAGTCTGAAACAATCACTATGATCAGATGAATTTTTCATAGCATCGAAAACATTGATAGTGATTTTCTCATCATTCATACTCAACTCGAGCTTTCCTTGTTCTACATCAATCATAGCTCGAGTTGTGGCCAAGAACGGTCTACCTAACATAAGGGGTATTTCACTCTCCTCCTCCATATCCAACACAATGAAATCAGCAGGAAAAATGAACTTGTCAACCTTGACAAGGACATCTTCTATTACTCCATTAGGTCTCCTCAAGGAACGGTCAGCAAGCTGTAGAGAGACCATAGTTGGCTTCAACTCAGAAATTCCCAATGACTTGCATATTGACAATGGCATCAGTTTGATGCTTGCTCCAAGATCACGGAGTGCCCGGCCAACATTAGTGTTGTCTACCGCAACTGGAATATTGAAAATCCCAGGATCTCGAAGCTTTGGTGGCAACTTCTTCTGTATAATGGCACTACACTCTTCAGTAAGTGCTATTGTCTCACAATCTGCAACTTATGCTTTCTAGACAACAATCTTTCATGAATTTAACATAGTTAGGCATATTAGCTAAAGCCTCAGTAAAAGGAATATTAATATGCAACTTTTTAAACATATCTAAAAACCTGGCATATTGTTGCTTCTGTGCCTGTTGCTTGAGCTTCATGGGATAAGGAGGTTTCTCAAATCGAGAATAATCTATCAGCTTCTTCGGAGCTTCAACAAGTTTCTCCTTTGCCTCTTCTTTTTCTTGCTCTGCAGTCTCTTCTTTCTCACTTGCAGGTGTTTTCTTCTCTTTTTCTTGCTCTGGTTCAATTACTACTTCAGCAGCTTTCTTTTTCTGAACCATCTTTTGCTTTTCTTGAGGGGTAAACATGATTCCACTTCTAGTTACAATGGAATTGCAGTGTGCCTTAGGATTCACAATAGTATCACTTGGAAACTGCCCTTGAGCTCTTTCAGCTAGCAGACAACTGGCCTATCTGGTTCTCCAAGTTCCGAATGGAAGCATCTTGAATTTTGTGATAGGCTCTTGTCTCATTCATGAAGGCATCAGTAATCTGCATGTGATCATTTGTGGTCTTGGAAATCTGCAACATTGCTTTCTCTAGTTCAGATAGCTCTTTATGTGGAAGAGGAGGAGGTTGCAAATAATTGTTGGATTTATAATCCAACCCTCCACCTTGACTTCTCCTTTGAAAATTGCTTCCTTGAGCACCATTCTGATTCCTCTGAAAATTTTGGGTATTCTGTGGTGGCCTTGGATCTTACTAAACTCCATTGACCTGGAATGGTTCAGCTCCCATGAGTGTTGGGCACTCATTAGTCTCATGCTCCCCTTTGCAGTACTCGCAGTTAACTGAATTAACCTGAGCTGTAGAGATTTGCATCTTGTCTAACTTAGCATTCATGCTAGCTAGCTGTTGAGATATAATCTTTTGCTCCGCTAGTGATGCATCATTGTTCCCCAGCTGCAGAAGTCCTTTCTTCGGTTGAACTGGTTGAACCGGGTGAACTTCCATTGAAGCATTCTCGTTCCATGCCATGTAATCAATCAGCTCCAGAGTTTGAGCTGTTGTCTTCTTTCCTATGGTTCCACTGACTGCACCGTTGACAACCATTCTAGAATCTGGTGTCATTCCATTGTAGAAGACTCTGACCTTCTTGGTATCTGGCAAGTCGTATTGGAGGCATTTTCTGATCAACTCCTGGAATCTGGTCCAGGCTGCACACAGAGTCTCTCCCGGTTGTTGAGTGAAGTTGCTGATTTCATTCACCAACTTATTGTACTTTTCCCTGGAAAAGTGCTCAGCAAAGAACTTGGATGCCAACTCGTTCCATGTGCGGATACTGTTAGGAGCTTGTCGATCCAACCATCTCAGGGTTTTTCCGGTCAAAGCAAAAGGAAACAACTGGAGTTTGATTGCATCATCGGATACTCCATGATGTTTGGTTGTATCACAGATTCTCAGAAATCTATCCATAAAGTCATGGGGATCTTCGTAGTCTTCTCCACCAAAAGGATTCTTCTCCACCAAAGTAATCAGCGACGGATGGATGTCATGGTTGTTGGCATCTATCGGTGGCCTGACTATGCTAGAGTTCGGCCTCGTGAAAAGAGGAGCGAGAATTGACTCCATCAATTCTTCTCCTGGAGGTGGATTATTAGCTTCCATCACTAGTTCTGTGTTTGGCTTAGAACTCGAAGACTCTTCCTGCTATCTTTGCTTGGCTAGCTTTCGGTTCTTCTTTGCAGTTTTCTCGATTTCTGGATCAAACTGTAAAGTGTCTCGATTTACTTTACATCGCATAAACTAAGCAAAAAGATTAGTAACAAAAAAAAATCCAATCAAGAAAATCAAGTTATAAATAAAATTGGCGTATTCAATCCCCGACAACGGCGCCAAAAACTTGTTGCGAAAAATCAGCAAGTGTACCGATTGTTCCAAGTAATAAAGGGATGAGTAGAGTATCGTCTCCACGAGGATTGAGGCACCAAAATTATTATAACTATTCCTCTCTTGTTGGATTAATAAAATGGTTGTAAGAACAATTGTAGGTTGTAAAAATTGAGAACAACTCAAGAACTTGTGAATAATTCAAAGATGTTTTTAAAACCTTGAGAACAACATATTAAGGTTGGGAAAATAATTGAGATAATATTGCGGTAAAGAACACCAACACCTTTATGATCCCCACCTTGTAACCTGAATTAACATTTCCATTCAATTATGCAATTGATCAAATGATTCACTATCTTTTAATTGATTAGTTAAACCTTAATTCCTTAGTGATCTTAACTTTATTGTCTCTAGAATCCTAATCTCTTAGAAATTCCTTTTCAAGTTAAGCCTTTTAAATCAGTGAATCTTTCACGTTTGCAATTCATGTAGCCTATCCTTAGTGCTTACATGAATAGTTATTTTACCCTTTGTCAGGAACTAGAATCTCAATATCCCTATTGAAAACCCTAACCCTCGCAATCCCAATAGAGTGATCGATTCTAGAAGAATTATAACATGAAGAACAGGATAAAATAAATGCAATTGGAATAATTAAATATAAAAATTAATCAAACTACAAGGTGTTCACATCAAAGGTTGTAACCTTTACCACAATGATAAAACACTAGCCAGACATATTCATGCCTGACAATCCAATGTATGAAAAAGAATTCATGAATAAATAATAACCAGAAAATTTGGGAAGAAGAAAGCTTGAATCTTCAATCCAAGAGCTTGCTCTGAGTTCTGCCTTCGTAATCTTCTCCGTACAAAAAGTTCCTTTCTTTAGGGTTTTTGACTCCCTTTTATACCCAATAACCCAATCAGGTCATAATCTTCCAGAAGATTTGATTTTTCTTTCTGTTTCTATCAAAATCTGCAAATCAGGACGCTGAAATCACGACGCCCGCGCCAGATTCGCGTGATTCACGCGGGCAAGCAGTGGAGAACTCTGTGCTTGGCGCGACTAGCATGAGAACCATGCTATTAGCGTGAAATTGAAGTGATGTTGCTCTTCCTTCCTTAGTCTGGCGCGATCCGCGCCATTCTCATGTTATTTGCGTGAGTTGGTTGTTTGCAACATAGCTTATCTCCATGCTTTCCTCCTACAAAAACATTGAATTCAGCGTGAAAGTGTGTCTGAAGATGGATCATCAATAATTCCTCAAAAATAATAACTTTATCACTGAATTACTGTCAGATCCTTGTTCTTTTTACTCTGAAATACCTATATGCCGAAGGCACATCAGTTCTCCCATAGTCTCTCTTAGTACATGTTAACATCTTCTACGAAGGGGCCACAATCATCGTTGGAAACCTAGTAACTGTTGTTGTGGAGGTAAGTTTGATTACCCATTCTCATTTCTCAGTAATATTCATAGACCTGAATGTGTTTTGGATCTTTTCAAAAATATTTGTATAACGATTTTTAATATTATCAGTGTGCTTGTGTCATCTAAACTGCTGTCTGCACTCTATTCCTAATGGGTGGAGGAGGGCTTTAAGAGTTGGCTTAGGGAAATTGAGTTGCAGTTCAACATACATTTAGCTTTCACTGCAGTTCAACATTTAGCCTACAGTTAGTTGATTATAAAAAGTTGATTTTCATGTGTCATCACAATATTACATGTATTTGGTATATGTAATTGTGCCTCATTTTTCCTAATTGTGATCAATCCTAAATTTTTACAGATTCTAACCAATAAGACTAAAGTGGAGGAATCACAAATGCTTTTGGATATTCCAATTAAACTAGAAACTGAGCATTATGACAGTGAACAAAAATCATCAATAAATTTGGATGGATGTGACTTTTAGGTAGTGATGTTGAGATGGTTGACTTATTCTGCGAAACAGGGATTGAATCTGTTCATTAAGAGGTTGAGAATTTTCTAAGAGATGCTAATTCTGGGCCATCTATGAAGCTTAAAGATTGGGATGGTGAGATACAATTTGATTATGCAGATAGTGATAATTTGTATTCTTTTCATAGTTCTAATGATAACAAAGGCAAGCCTAAATGCCAAGAATCCAATGAGAACACGGATATGCAAAGAAAAATTAATTTAGAGATTCGAATGAAGTTTACAAATTTCAAAGTTTAGGAAAGCACTGCAAGAGTATTGCATAGAAAATGGGCTTGATTTTTCATACATTTGCAATGACTCTAAGAGTATTACGATAGAGTGCAAGAATTAGTGTGGGTAGAGGATACATGCTTCACTTATACAAGAGGGAGATGTTTTCCAAATAAAGACATTCCGGCAAAAAGAACATAATTGTGGTTGGGTTAGAAGCAACACCAAAATAAATGTATCATGGTTGTCTAAGAAGTATATGGAACACATTCGTGATCAACCAAATTGGAAGAACACTGCATTTATGAATCAAGTGGATAGATATAATAATTTTCATGTCTCTTAATTAAAAGCTTATGACTTGTTGATTGAATGAGCTGTGGAATGACTTGTTTGCATGGACTGAATAACTTGTTATTTAATTCTATATTTAACTATATATTTGCATGGATTGAATGACTTGTTATTTAATTTTTTTTTATACATTGATGAGAAACTTGTTATTTAATTTAATTATATATTTGCATGGATTGAATGACTAAAGTTTTGCGTATATTACAAGATTGAATGATGTACTGAAGGCATATGGTTGCGAACACAGATTCTGCATGCGACAATTATATAACAATTTCAAATTAACTTATAAAGGAAAAAGTCTAAAGGATGGGTTGTGGAATGCTGCATGATCCACCATTGTATGAGTTTGAGAAGCACATGAAAAATATTAAGGCTCTTGACCCATTAACAGAAAAATGGTTAAAAGATGTTGAACCATCGTCATAGAGCAGACATGCATTCAGTACATGGGCAAAGTGTGATATATTACAAAATAACATTGAAGAGACTTTTAATTCATTTGTAATGAAGGCACGAGACAAACCAATTTTGACAATGTGTGAAATTATAAGAAGAATGTTAATGAAGAGATTCATTGCAAAGAAGGATGGAATGAGGCGATATACAATGTTGTAACGATATTAACATTACATTTTGGCAACTTGTAATGATGTTAACATGTACTCTTTTGGCAATTGGATGGTTATAGCAAACATGGATCTTTGCAAGTTTATTTTTTGTGTAGGATCCCTAGTGAAAGGTAAAAAGCTGACAGATAATCTTCTTTCTGATTTACAAGTTCAATAGGATCAACTCCTTCACCCTTTCTAGTAGCCACAACATCTACATTATGCGCCACAAACTTTCCTCTTTGGAACATGTTTTGGCGAAATTGACAGTAATTTTCAATGGCAATGCTCTGATTTCAATATAATTTTATGAAATACAAAAAACCATATTAGTTTAAGTACGGCGCAAAAAGCCAAAAACCATGATTGCTTATCTCAATCTATTACTCTATAAAGCCACTAGGATTGGTCTAGTGGTGAGGGTTTGAGTAGTTTGTATTAGGTTATGTGTTCAATTCTCATTAATATATAAAAAAAAAATCTATTACTTTCTAAGAAATAGGTACTAGAGTTGTATAATTAAGTCAATCTCAATATTCGTTTGAGTAGTTTAATTAAGTCATTGAGGGCAACCGAAATAGGATATGTATAATTAGCGTGAGTTAGTAAAGGTAAAAATATCAATTTCAAGATTTAAACTACAATCAATCTAAATCAACTCAAATTATTTATGGAACTGTGAAAAGTACTTATAGACTAATAAAGCATAAGCAAAATACTTTGTGATTGTAACCAGAGGTGGCTGATTTAAATGTTTTGAAGTCGGAGGATTTGTAAGAGGTCTTTTTGAATTGGGTGAGGAGAAAAAAGAAAGACAAGGGACTCGTGATTTAATTTCGTTTATATTAATGCTAATGTTGAATGCTACAATACAGGGTATATTGTAGAGAGTCACTAACATATACGATTGAAACCGATAAATAAAACCTAAGATACCCAACTCACCCAAAAATTATAATGGGTGCCCATTAATGTAAATGTATCTGAGCTTGGAGATGGTCTCTAGCTTGAGCCCAGCCCATATGAAAACTATCTAGCTTGATGTTGGGCCCAAAGTCAACAATTTTCAAATAGAAACTATTTTATAAAAAACTTAAAAACAGTTGATATTGTATAATTGAAGAAATATTTTATATAGCGCTTACGAATAAATTTTTAATACTATTGCTGTATTTAGATTCAGTGCATCTTATCAATGAGAGCATTACACATCAGAGGAGAGAAAAAAAATTTGACAGAAAAAAAAAAATTATCTGACATGTAATATTTTCATTAGTAGGATGTACTGAATCTTTAATATAACAGTAGTATCAAAGATTTATTCCCAAAATACAAAGACTGAAAGAGCTGGAGAAGTCGAAAATAAAAATTGGTTGGGTCCCACTTTGTGAATGAGGTCCACAAGTGGGCCCACTCTAATGCACGCAATCTTGATTCCTGTCACTTATGGGACCAAACACGATGGTATTTACTGTTTTCCAAATTAGAGTTATTTGTAAATAAGAGGATTTGAGTGGGAGGGAAACAATATAATTGTCATGTTTCTTATTACTTCGACGGATCACTTATCTTTTATATAGCACCGATACCGATATGGGACACGTGACACGATACGACACGACACTCCGACACGTTAATTTTAAAAACTGTTAGATTTCGATACGTTTTGATATTAAATAATATTTTTAATTTATGTAGTGTATATTATATTTAATAATCAATCATTTAACAAAAAAAATGAATCTAAACTTATAATATTCATAAATTTTGTAAAAAAACATAAGATATCCCAAATATTTATATTAAACTCAATAAAATGGTAATCGCAATCCAATGAATCTAATAATTGAAACTAAAAACTTAACGCAACGCAACTTTTGAACCTTTTTTTGAATTTTTATAAAGCGTGTTGGAGTGTCGGAAAGTGTCGGAGTGTCCGAGAGTGTCGGGAAGTCAGACACGACACGTCAGGATTTTTGAAGTGTCGGTGCTTCATAGCTTATCTTAGCTCATTGGGTGGAACAAATTTTGGTACTTCTGTAGTATCATATATTATTCTAAAAAGTTAAAAAGTTAGGATTTAAATGAAAATAAAAAAAAAATAGAATTTAAATGAGAAAAAAAATTTCTTTTTAAGACAAAATGAAGTATCAAGCCACTGTGTTTGATCTAGTCATGAAGAATTTAAATAAGTTATATTAGATAGGACGCATCAAAGATAAATTACATTGGGTGGGTCGGGTACGGAACAAAAATCATCATATGAAATTGGTTAAATATAGAAAGAAATAATTTATTGTTTCCAAAAAAAAGGAAAAAAATATTTATTTTTTTATCAAATTCTTGATAAAAAAGAATGCAAATAGCTAGTAATTTAAACCCATTAATCTGAAAAAACATTAAATAATAATTTCTTCAAATTTTTGTGATTTTTCATTTTTGGTTCGTTTGGTCCATGCTTGAAATTTAATTTAAAAAAAAAAAAATCAAAACTAAGGAGCAGATAAAGGACTCGACATCAACGAAACGGCAAAGTTTAAAGTTTAAACGAACAGGCACATCTAAACTGGTGATAGGGTCTAACCTTGGTTGCTCCGAAGTTGAAATTCTACACTAACCTGGATGTCTGTTTTCATTCCTCCGACTCCGAGTTCAACCTTCGGGATCATTGTTCAATCTGCCGCCTCTTTGTCCGTTATATATGTATATATTTTTAATTCTTTTTTGGGTCACTGTCATATTTTTTTTATTTTTTTTTTATCTTTTAAAATATGATACATAATTATGAATTACTTATAAACGACTGAAAATAAAGGAATTCAACTTTTATCCATGATTTGAATTGGGGTTTTGGTTAGAAAAGTTTCCTGATACTTGAACTTATTTGGAGTTAAATTCTTGGACATTAGCATATTGCGTGAATGTTATTGCTTCCCTCTTCCAAGTGTGTTTGTTTTCCTGCATATGCATAGTTAATAAAGTTTTTTCTTTTTTCTCAGTGATTCGTCTTTCTTATTAAGGGCTTTTGTTTAGCAGACTCTGATCTTATGGAACCTGACAGGTATCCTTCTTACTCTGTCTTTTTTCTGAGATAAAAACGGGAAGAACAAAAAAAAAATCATCTTTCCGCACAAATCATGATATATATTTGAATTTTTACATTAACATTAGCATATGTTCGTATTGGCACTGCAATTTTGGTTTCAGTAATTTATTATTGGTTATTGATTAAAATGAGCTATTCAGCTATGACTTGTTAAGATAGGTAGCACAAATTGCCATGAATTGGTGGAATTTGTTAAATTTGCAACACCTTTGACCATAGTACCTGCCTTCAGTGTTCTTGCAATGGGCTTCTCTGAATTTTGATACCCAGTGACCACATAGGTTTAGTTATTTCCTGCCCTTATCATTCCATTATGTTATTAAGTTGATAATTGGATACAACCTTCTCAACAGAAATACAAATTATGTTTTTCTACTAAGGAAGAAAACATATGGTGATATCTAGCAGTACATTATTGTACAGTTATGCAGTTGTACTTGCAGAATCTAAGGCAATTAGGATAATAGAATGATTCTTTCTTAGTTTTTTTTACTATGCTATGTTTCATAAATATTCCTTTCATAATACTCATTGTTGATTTACTAGGTTAAATACCCCAACCACGTTTGAGATGCCATTGGAGGTTTTGGGCCACGATTTGCAGTTTTCTCAGGTATTGTGTTGTTTTTAAAACTATCCTGTTTGGAGGGTGCTTTGAGGAAGGTGTTCTTTTCTGCAATAGGCGAATGGAACTTCAGTTATGTACTCTTAATGCAAGTAGATTAATGTGCAGCGAAAGCCTTGGCCCTTTTAGCGAATTCTAGTACATATTCCCTTAAGCTTGAGTTATGTACTCTTAATGCAAGTAGATTAATGTGCAGCGAAAGCCTTGGTCCTTTTAGCGAATTCTAGTACATATTCCCTTAAGCAGTGAAAGGTTAGCTTATTTCGTAAACTACACGTTAGCCGAGTCAAGATTTCTTTCAAGAAGAAACTCTCTTGAGTCAGAGTTTTCTTAGGAAAATGAGATGCCCCTTTAAATTTACTGAAAGGTTGAATCCAAAACCCTAAATGCATCGCAAGGAGGGGATAATTGAGTAGGATGATGATAGCTCACAGGTGCTCCAAAGGCTTTCGAGGTGCATTAGAGACTTTTAAGTTCCTGCTTAGTTATCAAGTATTCTCAAAATCTTTAGGAAGAAAGGAAGAATTAGTTAGAAAATTTTGAAGTCATGATTGACCAATGTCCGATATACCTACTAGTTTTTACATGTTGACTGATATTTTCTCTTATTGCTTCAGCTTCTTCGCACTGACTTGATTATATTTTATTGAAGATTGATACTTTTTGATTTTCTTAACATTTGCTGTTTTTTTCTTTCTTATATATCTTTCTATAAAATCACTGGCAATGTCATTTTTGTTTTCAATAGGATCCGAATTCCAAGCACTTAGGGACTACAGTATGGGATGCATCACTTGTGTTTGTCAAGTTTCTTGTACGTTGTTTATCCTCCTCACATGCTCGTGAATGTCCTGTCATTTTTTCATGAATGTAAAATTTTGTTAGATCTTAAGTGTTTTTTTGGGTATTTGTAGAATTTAACTGGTTCATTCTTTAGGTTCTCAACTTCTAAATTATACATGATTTGTACCTTGTAATTTTGGGGTGTATACGAAATAAAGAGATAGGGTTAAAAAACTGGATGTCTACATAGATAAGTGGACTTAAACTTATTCTGGAAACTCTGCATGAATAAAATTTGACATGAAAGCATATAAATCACCTTTAGCGTCAATAGCTCTTTGCTTCCTGGAAGTAATGGGAACTGGGAAGAGAGAAAACAAAAATGACATGGATTAAAAGAAGATGCATTTTCTCTCTTTGTTGGTGGACATGATCTTAAGTTGAGGTTAGATCCTTTGAGGATGAACTAGGTCATGAAGTTCATAGATGTGGCATTTAGTTTCCTGTTACCTTGTAATATTTCTAAACTCCCATTATTTTAATTCCTCATGATGCATCTTATATTGTTCAGGAACGGAATTGTAGAAAGGGAAGGTTTTCCCCATCTAAACTTAAAGGAAAACGTGTAATTGAATTAGGAGCTGGATGCGGTGTTTCTGGATTTGGTGAGTTTCAAATTATTGTTAAAAATTTGTTTATTAAATCAATTAATTGTGCCTATATGCATTCCTTGGTTGAAATTAATCGAGCTTTACCCTACTTTCAGTACTTCGATAGATGGGTTATTTCCTGTCTGATCTGCACTCCTTTTGCAGGCATGGCTTTGCTGGGGTGTGATGTTATAGTGTCAGACCAAAAGGAGGTTTTGCCATTGTTACAGAGAAACATGGAACGTAATATTTCAAGGGTCATTCAAAAGAATCCTGGTTTGATTCAAAACTTGTGAACCATCTTCATAACCATATGGATGTGTTATTTATTTTATTTTAAATGCTGTAAATTGAGTATATTTTTTACTGTTAGCATTGTACTTAATCTTTGGTGATTTTGTTCTTTGGATTTGAGTGATGGTAGTCTTACTTGGAAAATTCTTTATTTCTAGAGTCATTTGGTTCAATCAAGGTTTCAGAGCTTCAGTGGGGAGACGAGAGTCATATTAAGGCTGTTGGTCCTCCATTTGACTACATTATTGGCACTGACGTTGTAAGTGATAACCATGCCTTTCTGCATACAAAATAGAGGGAATATCACTTAACTCATTAACAAATTATTAATTGTTATTTTATTGTCATTCTGTCCTTAGTGGAACCTTATGCTACTTTTTGCTTTGCTGTATTCCATTGAAGGTTTATGTGGAGCATCTATTGGAGCCTCTATTGCAGACAATACTTGCTTTATCTGGACCTAGGACAACTATTTTGGTATGTTATTCAACTATTCTATAATCAAATTATGCACTTCTCATAATAGAGTTGGATAATTCACATATTTGTTTTTTATTTTGAATTCGTCCATGAAGTTGGGCTATGAGATCCGGTCAACATGTGTCCATGAGAAGATGCTTCAGATGTGGAAAAAAAACTTTGACGTGAAGACTGTCTCAAAATCCAAGGTATGCTATATGTTCTTATGACTATCACTACATATGTCTTGGTTTAGTAAATTATTTCCAGTTATCTTAACAAAGAGGTGAGTTTGGTTAGCTATTTGAAATTGTACTTAAGTCTTCACTTTGTGCAGATGGATGAAACATTTCAACATCCAAGTATTCAACTCTTCATTATGGGATTTAAACATTCATCAGATTGCACAGATAACTCAGGTCAGGCAACTTCTGAAAATGCTGATGTTGAAACTGGTGTGGAGGATAAAAGAAGTGAGGAAAATGTTGTAGTTGAAGGATCTGGTCTTGGAGAAGAAAATGTTGAGGACCATTGTAAGCCAATCCCGCAAAATGCAAAACTTAGTGAGTGGGAAGCCAGAAGGTATGGCTCAGTTGCTGCAAGGATTCTAAGAGATGTAAAAATATCCTGATTTTGAGAGTTCTGGTGGTGTTCTCCTTTACATGACCCACTTTTCCTTGTGACTTGCTGCATATTCCAACCTTTTCGTTCGTTAAAAGTGGGGCTATGATGAATCTGTAACCTTATTAAGTTTGGAAGAACTAGAAAGTTTTTGCATAATGCTTGGTTGCTGCACCATGTAATATAGTAATTATTATCCTGCATGATAGGAGAATGTATTACATGCAAAGAGGTGGTTTTGAGAAATTTTATTAAGAGTTATGCCTTTTAGAACTATACATTAACCATATGATTTTGCATTGGATGACATCTTTGGTATACTCATAAAATAAATTGAATTTTGAGCAACGTTGATATCACATGATGTCCTTTGATCTCAGGCTCCCAGCCAGATTTCCCATTCATTGCTGTACCCTTTAATTGATCAGTACGAGAGCCAGTTGCCCTCTAGTAAACAAAACATATACACAAATTCATATTGTACCACATATGATCACAATTTCTTGAACATGGATTTAAGGATCACTAGCTTGACACATAAGAGCTAGGGGCAACTAGTAGAATAAAGCTACCACCACGATTAGAGCATATATGAACCCCGAAAAAAGAAGGGTAGAGCATATACAATGTGATAATATCATTATCTCCATATTTGAGGAATTATAAAGAAGCTAAGAAAATTGAATGGGCATTTTCATTACTGAGCTGGATCTTGGACGTCAAAATTCAAAAGGTGCTCACATACTTGGAAAAGAAATGAATTAGTTTAGTTGCTTAATCACAATTACCGTTTCTATATGAATAGAAACACCGAGTTTCTAAAATCAAGGTTCTGCTACGTTAGTGCATTTAATTGGCCATTATTCTTTTATAACTTTTCAAACAATTTTATTTATAAAATAAAACTAATTCTTAAATTATCTATTACAAGTGGGAATGGATTAAAATTTCACATGTGAAATTTCTATATTTATCTCTCTTTTTACATGCATTAAATAGGTAGAATTTAATTATTATTAATGAAGAAAGAGATAGACACAAAATTTTCACATAATCAAATCATGCAAAATTTTCACATAATCAAATCATGCAAAATTTTAACATAAGAGAATTTACTTTCGTCATGTGAAATTTTAACATAAAAAGAGCCACTCCATGAGTATACTCGTAATAAATAATTAACTTTTTACAATCAATGAAGAAGATCTCATTCTCAAAAATGGTACAAAGAAAAGAATAGAGTCAGACTTAGGCCATGTTGATCAAATCAAACTGATTCTTCTGACATAAAATAAGGCACAAAAAGACGGATTGGTGATCATGAAATTGCAGGGGCATTTACCAATAGCTGATGAATCTGGTCATGTCATAAGATTAACGTGAGAGAGCATACAACATATATAAGTGGTAACTTGTCAATGAAGGCAAAAGACCATGAAATTGCAGTCAAAGTGTTAATAGCACCAAATCATTACCATAGCTTTGACTCCTGTGTGCGTTTGTTAGCGAGGGGTCATCATTTTTATACCACTCCTCTGGGTATAGCCAGTTTCAAATTCAAAGTTGTGAACCAACTTTACCAACCTCATCAAACAAATGGAAATTTGTTATCCACTAAACCAGTAGTAAATATAGTTTCATTGTTTAATCTATCATAAACTACGTAGCTAGTAAGAGAAACGAAACAAAGGTCAATATAATGAAGTTGGAAATTAACCTTAGTAGTTTTCAAATTTGTTTTTTGCATGAAGTGACTGATTGAGAATTGATTTTCCTTCCATTTCCCTAGTTCTGATACTTTTACCGTGCATGCACGTGCGGGGGAGTCTGAGCCACCCTTGTCATGGGGACCTCATCATAGACTCAGAATAGAGGACACGTTAAAAGTTGTAAGGTTGAATAAAAATGAAAGGATCGGTATTCATTTGAAGGGTCGATAAGAAACAATACAATTTTAATCAAATAAAAATATTTAAATTATTGAGAAAAATGATACAAAAGTTTAGTTAAGAAATTACATTATTTTTGTCGTCCCTGGATCGACAAGTATATCTTTGTCCGTCGAATCTCAGTATGGTTAGCACCTCTTTGACTTTTATTTCCTTTCCTTTTCTTGCTATTCACTTTCACATCTCCCTGTCTTCAATCTTTTCCAAATCATCCCATAAACTCTTACCAATTACATAAAATGAACCTCTAGCTCTAGGCTCTACACAGCACAACTTTCAAGTCTATATGTTGCTATAATATGAGATACACATGGGAAATGTGTGCGTCAAAATCACCCATAATTTTATAGCGAGTACCCAATTGCCATGTGTCACGCACATCAAATCATGTATTATTTCCATGCGAGACTTGAATGCACACATCTTTCATACAAGTTATATAACAGACGCACACTCGTTTTTGCATATATCAGACATGGGATGACTTATGACTATTGTTTAAAAACTCGACCTGGCCGTCGATTCGTCTGAGGTAAAGGGTCATTGGATCATAGATTCAATCGGGGGATTATATTACGGGATCACTTCGTTGACCTGATTTTATATATTAAAAAAAAAAAAACCAGTTTCTCATATTACAGGAATTCTTGCAACAAAAAAATAAATATATATTACGGGTAGTACATAGTTATAAATTTCTGCAAAATAATAATAATTATGTACTAGTTGTAGTACACAGTTATAATATTAAAGTTTTTTTTCATACCCCTTATAACTATGTACTACCCGTAGTACATTTTTATTTTTTTATTTTTTATTTGCAGGAATTCTTGCAACATAAGGGACCCTTAACAATATATATATATATATATATATATATATATATATATATATATATATATATATATATATATATATATATATATATGAAAAATTCAAAAAAATCAAACCAGCAATCATCAAAAAGATTCAAAATATACTTAACATAATTCAGTCAATTACATCCACAAGTCAATATATCACAAGCTAATCAAAGTATAAAATATATATTCCAATGGAGTTGATGAAAAGTTATACCATCAAACTCAGGAACTTCTTATCCTTCTCACGCACCTATAATAGCATATGAAAGGAGATCCATTACCCAAGAGAGAACGGGGGAAGAGAGGCAGAGGCGCGACAAATCAACGGTGGGAAGAGAAGAACCAGTACGACAGAGGAGAAGGAGAGAGAAAACTGAAGAGGATACGAGGAACCATCACCACGATGGAAGAGATCATAAGATTAGGGAGATTAGGTTTGGGTCTAGGAGAGAAGAAGAATAACGATTTAGATTTCAGATCTATTTTTAGATCTAGTTTTAGATCTAAGCTGCAGCGAGTTTTTGTTTTATTTTATGTTTGCTTTACACACCAAACGATGTATTTTCATATGTATATTTTATTTTATTTTTTAAATGAAGTGGCTCCTTTGACCCGAGAGTTATAGGTTCAATCAGGGGGTCAGAATGGTCAACATGCATGCAGGGTCTAACTGTTGACTCCAATCCTCAAAGAGAAAAAGTCAATGACCTGGCGGGGTCGACCCCAGAAGGAGATGGGATTTTAAAACACTGCTTACGACTTAAACGCGCACACCTTTTGTATATCTTGATGTATTGTTTTGTCAAAATATTTGGATTTTGAATCCATTGAATAAAATGTTTTCCTTTTCACATCATGTTAAAAAGATCCTATAATTTAAGTCGGGCTAGCTAATTAATCAGTGCCACTCGGAATGCCAATTCCATATCATAAACATTCAACTAAGCGCAACATGATGAAACTATGGCTACACCCGTACACCACTCTTAATTAATTTGTGTAAGAGAACGAGATGGATACGACAATTATATATTTTGAAAACGCTAATATTGGTTAATGTTGTTATCTGCTTGCATCATGTTTTCTACGGAGACTATTCAAAGTTGTATCTTGAAAGAAATGAAAGAACTTTCCGTCATTAATTATTTATACATGCATCTAGCTAATGCTATATATATATACGGCCATCTTTCATTCCCCCTTGCTTTGGACATCAACGCAACTTCATTTATGTTGGAAAGTTTGACTAAATTTTTATGCTGTTCATGCATATGACAACAGAGAAGGGAAGAGGCTTCCAGATAATACATATCTAAGATATAAAGACAGTATTCGATACCTTGTCTTATTCATATACCAACCAAACTTGGTGAACTAAAATCCTCCTACCTTCCTAGCTCCTTCTATGATTGCTTACTTGGTTCTTCCAAATACTAATCCTACAAAATTGTTCTGGGGCTACTTTATACCTCATTATACTATGTGTAATTCTTGGTGAAATATAATCTCATAAGTATTTAAATTATTATTTGAAATATATAAAATTATGTAGGTCGTGTTAAAAATGTATTTATGGTAAATTGTAAATTGGCACATGTCAAATAATAATTTTAGTGTGACGTCATAGCTAGATTTTTCCTAACTAAGAATTTCTCTTATACTCATTGTCTTTTAGAGTTCCTGTTTCAACTCCAAAAGGAAAACTAAACATCCTCCATATTAGATATACATTTTACATGTTTATCACTTTATTTAATATGGGGCAGGTTATATTTACAAACTTTTATAAACTACACTATTTTCTCCCGGGAGAACATGGTTACACGATGTTCTCCCGGGATAACATAGTGTAATTTGTAAAAAAATTTAAAAAAAATTTGTAAACGTATCCGTCCCCATTTAATATTATTGATTATTATATTTTTGCTTTAGTTTAATTATATCATATTATTGATCAGAAACATGGTGGGGATTTTAAAATGATGCCACAGGTACAATTACAAACGAGAAGGTACAAAATGTATAAAGCTACACTGCTTGATTTCATTTTCATTTTAGTCAATTTAATGAATGAATATTATTATTACAGTAACGCGAAGACGATCACAGCCTATACAAAACTTTCCAGCTTACTTTCCCAACCGTTTACAAAAGGGGAAGCATCAATTGAAGTTTTAGAGTCAATAATGCTGAAGACTATGACACTTGTCCTTTTAAATTTTTTATGAATATGATGAATGATTAATTACCTTTTGAATAATCAATGATATGCATATGTTTGTCCATATATACTGAATCGTAAGATGATGGCCCATTATGTTTTTCAATTGGATGCATGATTCCACAAGGGGAAGGAGAAGACAAAGGAAAGAGATTTTGCTTGCCACGAACAGTAAGAAAAATGATCCAAATAATCCTCACCTTTGCTTTCGATTTCAAACTATATATAGTTCTTGTTTATTAAATATCTTTATTAATGTGGAAAAGAATAAACAATTGGATTAAGGATCCA